TCTTTACCTTTTAACATATTTCAAATATAATAACAATTCAGTACCATCTGCATTATTTGGTATTTGTAAGGCCAGTATATAGGGAAAAGAAAACAAACCAAAAGGTTTACAGTATAACTGAAAATTACCCTAGTGAGGAGAAAGGCTTTATCATATAGTTGAATAAACACTGGGGTAGAAATAATAGCATGGGATTTGGATGCTAGTTTTAGCAATACTTGACCTGTGCCACTTCTGGCAAATAATACATCTACGAGATAGAATGATGTTTAAAAAAGAAACATACAAAAAAAGATGAAAGTAAAAGGTTATAACAAAAAATCAATGCAGAAAATGGATGTTTAAAAAATATAACATTACACCTAAGATCTGAACAGTGTCTTGCAGAATAGTTCTCAACTCCTCCATTCACCAAATAATGCCAGTGGGCAGCAAATGGTATTCTGTTAACTAATGAGAGAAAACTACTGGTAAAAGTTCTCTCTTGCGTTTATCCTTAGTGTTACACAACTTACATAGACTCTGCAATCTTAAAACAGAAAAAAGGTTGGGAAAATGATTAATGCAAATTAGATCCACTTTAAAAACACAGTTTCTAGTCCTTTAAATGAATCCAAGCCATATAAGGTACATCCTAGAATACTTAAGGAATTTGACAAACTCACTCATAACCTTGGATAGTAAACCTTTGAGTCGAGATGATTTGGTTGAGGTGCTGAGGACGGATACAAGCTACAAAGGACAAAAACTTGTTAGTATCATTCCCTGGTAGATGCACAGTTGCAAGCATGATACCTAGTATGCCTTAAAGGCTTTACAAATGTCACAGACAATATTCTAAAATACACTTTTTTTGTTTGTAGAAACATAGAAAAGGAAGTAGTGATCACTAGGAGGCAGCATTGATTCACTAAGACCAGCTACGCCCATGTCACAGTTTCCTTCCTAAAAGAGGAATAAACATCACAGCAAAGCATTTGACCAAATTTCACGTAATCTCTGTAAACAAGATGGAGAAAAAGGACTAAATATCTTGTAATTAAATTTGTAGCTAGTTGAATGGGAACACTATGCTGTTTAATGGATCATTATCAACCTGGGTGGAGAGAGCTCTGCCTTATCAACATTGTTTTTTTCAGTTTTCCATGTAAAGACGTTTTTTTTAACCAAATTTGCCAATGACTTAAAAACAGAATACCAGGCACTTGGGTGGCTCAGTCGGTTAAGCGTCTGCCTTCTGTTCAGGTCATGATCCTAGGGTCCTGGAATCAAGCCCCGCATCGGGCTCCCTGCTCAGCGGAGAGAGTGCTTCACCCTCTTCCTCTGCCCACGACTCTGCCTACTTGTGCTCTCTCTGTCAAATAAATAAATAAAATCTTAAAACAAAACAAAACAAAACAAAACAAAAACCAGAGTAACAGCCCAAGTTAGAAAAAAAAGCTCCAAATTAGTAAAAAAAAAAAAAAGAAAGAAAGAAAGAAAAAAGAAAAGAAAGAAAGAAAGAAAAAATTACTAAAGTGAGTAAAAGTAAGTTTATAAAATGTGACATGGAACTATGCAAGTCCAGAATGGAGTGATCCTGTTTTATATGTGAAAACCCTGAGTTTTCATGTTTGAACCCCACAAGAGTATATGATTGCCATAAGACAAATGTAATCATACTGTATATCTGTTAAATAATGTAAACTTTTTTTTTAAAGATTTTATTTATTTACTTGACAGAGAGAGAGAGAGAGATCACAAGTAGGCAGAGAGGCAGCCAGAGAGAGGGAGAAGCAGACTCCCTGTTGAGCAAGGAGCCTAATGTGGGGCTCGATCCCAGGCCTAAGACCATGACCTGAGCCAAAGGCAGAGTCTTAACCCACTGAGCCACCCAGGTGCCCCAAATAATGTAAACTTCTTAAATCCTCAAAGTTGAAATACTCCAGTCTCTTAGAGAGAGATATGGTAGCCAGAGGCACTGTGAAAAACCAAAGTGGCAAGACCCGCATCTGCAACTTTTCGACTTTGGCCTTTGAATACCTAGAATAAACTGTTTACTGTTAAATCCCATAAATCATACCAAATTTTTTAAATGGAGCCTAAATTTCATTTGTTACAACACCAAAAATATATATTGTTATCCATGTCTTCAAAGGTAAGGATTCTGAAGCATAACTAGGACTCATCCAAGCATGTGACAGCTCTTTTAATAATTCTACTACTTTTCTTACTTAGCTGTTTATTGAGTATTCCTTTTTGCCCCATTCCACATCTACTGAACCGTATCAGTGAGAGTAGGGCCCAGGAATATTTAAAGCAGCTCTGGTAATTATGAAAATGGCCCACAACAAAAGCTCTGTGAACTCCCTTAGATCATCTAAATATTTCTTTCCATCCAGGTTTGTTTTTTTTTAAAGATTTTATTTATTCATTTGACAGAGAGAGACAGTGAAAGAGGGAACACAAGCAGGGGGAGTGGGAGAGGGCGACGCGGGCTTCCTGCTGAGCAGGGAGCCAGATTCGAGGCTCAATGCCAGGACCCCAGGATCATGACCTGAGCTGAAGGCAGACAGACGCCTAATGACTGAGCCACCCAAGCACCCCTCAGGTTTCTAATAGATATTTGACAGCAGGAATTTGACAATATACTTTCTACTGATAAGTAGTTTATAAAAATACAAAAACCTGGTCAAACTAGAGCCCTCGTAAGGCTCTTAACCCTGCTGAGCTTCAATTTCCCATTATGTAAAATGGTCACTGTTGTAAGCATTGAACATCATGCCTGGTGCAAGATATGTGCTCAGTAAATGCTACCTACTAAATATTGAAGGTGAAGGCTCGTAATATACTATATTGACAGTTAAGGATCACTTTATAATTCTGTCTACCACCCAAGTAGGTTCACCTGCCCTTGTGAAGGCATGGTTTACCTTCTCATTGACATGGTGAATCCTTTGTTACATTGTCTGAGAAACATGTGGACACAGATAGCCTATATTTATATTGAATACTACTTAAAGTTTTTATCATATCTCAGGATAGGTTAAAAATTCTGAATGTTTTATAAAGGCATTAAGCAGGATGTTTAAGGAAATACTAATAAAGTTTATCTCTTATTCTTCTGGCATCAAGATTTGTAATATTTATGCCAAAACTGTCAACATATAAACCCATTTGACTTAGCAAGTGCTTTAGCCTAAAAGCAATGCTTTAAACATTACTTTGGGTAGGATGTTTTCAGTTAAAAAGAAACAAATTAAGTTCTTTCTGCAGTTAATTGCCCTTTACAAAAAAGTTTAGTGAAAATATCTTTCTAGGAAAGATTTATTTCTTTGATTCATTATTAAGCTTGGCTTAGATAGTGCCTGAATCATAGAGCACAGAGGTAATTATAGGTTAAAATTGATTTGAGGCTCTTTATAAATAAGAAAAGTGATTACAGAATAAAACTCTCATTAAAGAACATAAAAAACTTGACACTGCATATTAATCAAGTCTCCACTCAGACCGTGGTTCTTTTACAATGCTCATGCAAAAAGAAATCCAATTTGAATTGGTTACAAGCACAGAAAGCCTCCCTGTGCACCCAGGAAGAGATAACTGCATAGACCATTTGGTGTGTTTTCATTCATTTTCCCTACCATTACCAACATCCAGTTCATATCTGGGGAATGATTTTTTTGACACCAGTCAGGTAACTGCATCATCGTAAGATTTCAGAAGGCTACATCATGCTAGAAATGCATTACTGTGAGGGATTGGGGGTGGAGGGGAACTATGGTTTGTCTATTGGTTTATGTGTGATTTATGTTATGCCAAGTATGTTGGCAAAGTATCTGATTTGGACTTCATTTGCATTGTTCTAATACATTTCACTTAGCAAATGAATGATCTGTATTCCTTATTTGATTTTTGAAAATAGTTTACCCATTTAAAATACAATTATTTACTTATATAGAACATTTGGTGTATAGCCCTTCATTAAACTGCCTATTTGCTTTACTCACTGCATTATTTCCATTTTATTATTGATTATAAAACCTTATACTACAAAAGCCAAATATTTGATAGCCAGTACTAACTAAACTTTGTCTAACCCTGAGGCAGACCTCAACAACAGAACATCAAGCAAGTTATGCTGGGTGACGGTGCCTGGTGGCCAGTGAAGAAAACTATCTCAGCAGTTCTCTTCTTACAAGTCTTATTTCTATAAAGATATTTTCCTCTGGAAAATGTTGTTTGTGAACCAAAAAACTACCATATCTAATTAGTAGAGTTTTAAGTATTAAAAAAGTATGAACAAAATCTACCTCTAAACTCTGAAAGGATCTATTCCAGAAGCCCTTTTCAGATTTTATACAAATTAGCCTTCATCTTTTCTTATTGAGGTTGTATTATTTTTAAGCCAAGGGTCAGCAAACTATGGCCTACAGGCCAAATCCTGCCTGCCACCTGTTATTGTAAATGAAGTTTATTTGGAACACAGCCATAACTATTCATTTATGTATTATCTATGGCTGTTTGCATACTACAAGAGAGTTGAGTAGCTGTGACAGAGACCATATGGCCCTCAAAGCTTAAAATATTTGCTATCTGCATTTTTACAAAAACGCTTGCCAACCCCTATTGCCAAACATTTTCATTTTAAAAAAAGAAAAACTCTTTAAATTTTTCTTGAATTTTAAGAATATAAGTATTATTCTAGTTTCTATTCACCACAAAGTTGCACACTTTGGCCCTCAGTGGTTGATGAGAATTTCTCTGGAATACTCTGGATCTCAACACTATTTGTACCATTGTTTCTATGGATTCTTTAAAAAGTGAACATGGCTCTACAAGGGGTTTTAGAAAAAAGCCTACTTGTAGTTGAGGGACATTATCGACTTAACTGATTCACTGAAATAATCAACCAGTTCTACTGACTATTGCTCTGAGATACCATGTTTACTTCTCTTGAAAACAGGTTTATGGAACCAAGGAGTCAGGGGAAGTTGTTGACAATAAGAGCAAGCACTACCTCAATATAAATGTCAAGTTTATTTACTCACATTTATAAACAACAAAAAACTCCTTTAATGCTAGAAATTCCCCAATTTTTAAGATTAAAAGCCAAGATGGCTTTCAAGACTATGGAATCCATTTCTTTCAGATAATATGCAACTTTGTTAGCATTTTTCCTTTTCTGAACCAAACACATTTTTACCTACACTTCTATGGTGCTAGAGAGCAACCAACCACCAGAGTAGTGTGGTAAATGGGGATGATTCAGATTAGAAGACTTACCTTTCTGTGACTTTCTTAAAAATAGGGAAACACATGTATCCTGCACTACTGATGGTATTTGTATGCTTGATTTACATAGGATACAAATTTCTCTTTTTAACTAGTTTTCTGTATTAAAATATGAAGTATCTGTTCTCAAAGTGAACATTAGATTTTAGTACTATTTAAGAGAAAAATAAAACCAAGCTACTATACATGATTTAGGAAAAAAAAAATGTTTTTCAAGGAAATGTAGAAATATTTTAATTTACATATCATATTACAGTTAACCAATATGGTGTCAAAAGTCCACAATTACACATTCATAAAAATTCCATACATCATCCTCAGAATAATCAGCTTCTATACAAAGATTTACAGTTATCCAATGTATATAATTCTTCCTCAGTGTGCTACAGAGTTTAGAGGTTCTGCTCGAATATTCCCCAGGTCAAGTGCAGAATCTGTCTCTTCATCAATTTCTCCAATGACTGCACTGTAGTTATTTAAGGAAAGAAAAAAAATCAGTTAAAACAATCTCATTTCTAAATAAAACTGAAAGGACACGGTAAAAACTACTTAAGGTGAAAAACAAATAGTCTCCATGAAGTAGTGAATTATACATTTAAGTCACAAGTTACTTCAAGAAATAATCTGAAGGCAACATTAGTACAGAAGCTAGTATTAAAGGACAAACTGCATACAGTGTGATTGGATCATGAGTCTTTAAAGGAAAAAGACACATATCAGATAGGTATGGTACAAACCCCCACAAATTCCAATCCTATGACTTCAACTCAACAACTCAATCCAGGGACTGTGCTGCAGATGATCACAGAATCACTACTAAATAAGCAAATAAAAGTGTCTATTTGTCTCTACTGGAGTAACTTCAATGAACTAAGTCCATATACACTCACACACAAACACAACATCCATTAGTTTCCTTTCCAGGATTTCATAGTTCATTCAATTTAAATCCAAGACCAAAAAGTACAGTTCTTCACATATAAAGAGAACAGTAGCAACGGGTACTCAGATATCATAGCAAATGATTTTTTGATGTGACTGGCTAATGTTAAAGCCAGCAAGTCCTTCCTTGATTTAATTCTACCATAACATCTATAACATTAATTTCATTAATACCGTACTAGGTACCAAGCCATGGTTCTCCAGCTGGATACCTAAACTGTTACAGCCTCACCACTGAACATGTATAAAACATTATTCCATAAGAAGCTGGTTATTTAAATTAGTTTGGCTTTAATAAGAGTAAATTCTATAGGCGAATACTTGTAATACAGAATTTTCCCAAGTGTGCTTTAAACTATAGAAAGCCTCCAGCTCTCTAATAAATGAGAAGTACCCAACTCTGGGAAAATATATTATGTTTTCTAAATATAAAACAAATCAAATACCTCAATTCCACCTTAAAAAATTTACTATCATTTAAAATCCTTAGGGAGGACAGAAGAGAACTGGTACATGTTTTTTAAAAAGGGCTCTCCAAAGGAAAAGGGGGAGGCAGCTCTGCACTGTTTACTCATATCCATAGTGCAAATACTCCCACTGCGGTCAATTTCAAGCTACCACCAACAAGATATCAATCAACCAGCTTGCAAAATTCCTGAGAATGTAACAATCTGCTTCCTTGAGCCACTCCAGCATACCACTGAATCTATAACAAGGTTTAAAAACTTTTTTAATTTAAGTCCAAAAAAGTTTGCTTTTTAATTTTTTTAAATCAAAGTAGGAGAAAGTTTCTTAAAATCAATTATTAGGGAAAACCCCAATATAAGTAATCACTATTATTCTGGTCAGGGGAACTTGTCCCCACTAAATGCTTTGCCTTTCTCTCGTTTTTTTTTTATAGCTCACTTATGCTTATAAAACATGAATTATTTAAAATTGTTCACACAAGAGATTCTGAAGGCATCTTCAAACCCTAGCTTTAGACTCTAGAAATGTATTTATGTTACTCTAAAATTAGGGGTATGTGGGGGCACCTGGGTGTCTCAGTGAGTTAAGCCTCTGCTTTTGGCTCAGGTCATGATCTTAGGGTTCTGGGATCGAGCACCGCATCAGGCTCTGCTCAGTGGGGGCCCGCTTTTCCCATTCTCTCTCTGCCTGTCTCTCTGCCTACTTGTGATCTCTGTCAAATAAATAAAAATAAAATCTCTAAAAAAAATAAAAAATAAAATTAGGGGTATTATGGAAGAACATTTTTAAAAAGCCTCTCTAGTGAAGTATTCAGTGTAAGGGAGGGCCCTTTCTGGACCCTATCTAGGCCCCTTAACTATCAGAAATATGGACCAATCTTAGATAAAAACCTCTTTCCCAGATAGCAAGTTGTCTACATCTGTAGTGTATTTAACCTGCCTTTAAAAATGGACATATTTTACTTACACATTGTCACCTCTTACAATGTATAACCCCAGCACCACTTGTTCTACTCCCTGTGAAGAGCTGAACACTCGTTCATGGCTTTCATCCAAAATCAAATTAATGGTCTGGTCAAACCCTTTCAGTGTTCCCTGTAAAGAAAACATTCAAGAGAAAAAAAGACAAATATTGTGGTTTACCTGAATATGTAAATTCAATGACACAAAAATTTTAGTTGCCAGGTATACCAACAGAGTACTTATTTTTTATTTTTAATTAATTATCTTAGAAGTACTTCTTTTAAATATAAGTCCATTATAAAATAGAATACTTCTTTATAACCAACAGTATCCAGGGAAACAAAACTTACCTCTTGGTTTTTTAAGATGGGGGAAAAAATCACCGTAGTCTGACTAGTATGTAAGAGTTGTTCAGTTATGAAGGACACCTATGTACCAGTGTAAGGAGGTAGCGTAAAAGCCCACATAGTCCAGGAGATAACATGGACAAAGACTAAAACAAATGAAATTTAAGGGGAACTATATAAACATATAAAAAGGGAAAGCATATATATAGCCACAGGAACGTAAAGAGTCACTTCACGCTACACCCTAGTTCTAGGCCCTGTGCTAACCACATTGCACACATTATCTCAAATAATTTTTATCCTTTGAGATACATACTACTTACTTCCCACTTCACAGAAGAAAAATTGAGGCACAGAGAGGTTAAGTAATCTCTCAAGGTTTCATGAGTAGAAAGTAGTAGAGCTAGGAGTTGAACCACAAAAGGCTAGCTTCAGGCCCAGACCACTGAACTATTATTATACTATTAGGAATAAAAAATATAATTTACCATTCTTCAGAGATTCAAATCAGTCCCATAAATATATACCAACTTCAACTGGTAAAACAGCTAACACTTAATGAGTACTTACTATCTGCCAGTGTTCTATGGGCCTTGCATGTATTTACTTAATCTTCCCAAAATCCAGTAAGGTAGATACAAATATGATGGTAATTATTAGAACCAGAACTTGAAGGAAATATTCGGAGAAAATTTTATGGGAGAATCTTGGTTTTGAATAAAGGAAGATATGGGTCTAGCACAACATAGTAGCTCAGATGCTATTTAAGTTCCTGAAGAAATATCAACATATTAGTTTTGGTTAATTCTCTGAAGCTCATTATTAAACTGTTTCATGTTTGAAAATCAAAATATGTAAAATCAGAGTACAATAATGACAAAATGATAACCTAAAATTTGGAAGAGAAACAAAATACAGGGTATTCACTAAACTAATAAGAGTTGTTAACATACCCAGACATAGCCTCTTGATGTCATTTTATACATAACTATTCTATCAACTGAGCCATGTGTCAATAAAATACAGAAATACTGAACTTCAGTACTCAAAATGCTCTTTTAAAATAATTTTCTTTCCTATGTAAAGTTAAATTCTCAAAGTTTTTTATCAATCCCGTTAAAAATAGGAAAATTTTAAGTTTGAGATTTTCACAAAATACAAAACGATTTGCAAATTTCTGTTAATAGTAATAGAGGTCTTGAAGTGTTAAGATGGGATAAAAATATTTCAAACTGTCCTTATTTGACAAAATACACTAAGATGCCTAAAAAGAAAAGACTATTCTGTTGATTAAGAAAGAAGCAAGGCGACAGCTTTAGCTTTGGAGTCAAGTGGAATTTAAAACCCAGTTTGGTTCTGCCACTTACTATCTAAGTGACTCTGGGAAAGTGATTCACTTTTTCTGAGCCTGGTTCCTAACCTCGAATTCAGGGATAATTCTTCACAGAGTTATACTGAAGATTAAGTGATATAATACATGTAAAGTTCCTGGTACATGATACACATTTAAATAAATGGCTAAGTCTAACACTCTGATAATAGCCATTTATGGACCCACTGAGAAAAATGACAAAAATTAAAAAAAAAAGCAAAAGAAACAAAAACAACTGCAGATGGAAAAACAAGAGATTAAAATATATGAATTACACACAGAAAATAAAGTTTAACAGCTTTAAAATTGTTTTTGAAAGCAAGCAATGTATGAGTTATAAATGAAGAAATAATTAAGTAGCCAAAAATCATGAAATAAATTCCTCAGGTCAGGAACAGATCAAGGAGAGAATCCAAGAATTTTCTAGAATTAAAAGGGGGGGGTTTGTCTGTGATACAAGGACAAATGAGATGAAATAAAAGAGTCAATCATCACAATTTGTCCTACAGAAAACAGAAGTCCTACAACATATAGATACTGAATATATATTAACACCATACAAGACCTAAATGTTCATTATTCTACATATGTAGTATCTATCATGAAGTTTCTAAGAGGCATACACAAAATTTCAAAAAAACTGTAATTCATGTAGTGAATGCCAGAGCACTGAATGGGGAAGGAAATAAAAAACTGAAGAGGAAGATAAATATAAAATACAAGCAGATGTCTGAAGACTAGACTAGAAGCTCTCTGAGGACAGAATCTATTATCCATCCTGGCTCCTAGAAGCTTTCTATGTAAATTACACCAACATTTATTAGTGAAGAAAATATGGATCAGCAGCTATTTATCAAGTAGAGAGAACTGAATCATAACAAAACTGCAATGCAGGTGTACTGTGAGGCCTAGGCATTAGAGATCAGAAGTTTTACATAAAAATTTACAACCAATAAGCTTACAAGGAGAGAATGAATATGCTTATTACTTACCACAATCATTCTTCCATCAGAAGTTATAACTGCAACAGTTCCTGATAACTGAATTAAGGAAAGCATTCTCAGGGAATGAAAATGAAAACCTGGGCTCTCCTGAGGAAATGGTTTGAATTACTAGGAAAAAGGTGACAGAATTAAGACACAACTACTTAACGCAGCACTACATTTACAACGTATCTTTAAGTTTCTAACTTCCTCAAAATTTGTAGTAACTACACAATTAAAACAGGGAAAAATAGAAAAAGAAAATCCCTTTATGTGATCAGTTGTTTCCCTGTCTCAAAACAGCGGAGATGTCTGGTACTTTCACTGGGGAAATACTTCCCATAGGGCTTAGAGCAACATTTACCACTTTCCCAGACCTGTTCCTTTATCTCTAAAAGGAAAATTGAAATTAGTGCCAAATTCATCAATACTGAATGCTTTCAAGCGTGCGGAGACACTTCCTTCCAGGACCCGGCCTCTGGAATTCAAAAAAGAAGCTATAGTCCATGTCAAAGGTGCCAATATGCTTGCACAATTAAGCATCTAGTATTTCACTTTTGTTCCAAATTTATGCATGAGAGCAATGTAGTGTTTCTCTCCTGAGATTTTAAAATGGTTAATACTTCTACAGGGTACATTAAGACTCCATACGGGGTTTTACAAGTTGTTTGCTCTTCATGAGTATCAACTACAACAGCAAGCATTATTTTCATTCTATCAACAAAGAAGTTGAGACTTCAAGTGGTAAAGGGGCAGAAGTTCAACTTGTGCACCATCTTTAAAGTTTTTGGTATCTTCGAACAATAAGCAAAGCCTATGAATAAAACAAATTCTTGGATTGCAAGACCCTCCTCGTCGCTAGGACGACTGTTGATCTTATTCCCAAACGTGAACTTATAGGCCCTACGGTAGTACAGAGAAACAGAGAGCTGATTTCTATAGAAAGAGAAAGGGAAAAGTTCGGAATAATCACATTGTTCTGTTTTGTTTTGTTTTAGGTTAAAATTAAAAGGTGCTTTGGGCCCCCAGGAGCGGCGGGCTCCAGCCCCGGGAGCGGGACTGGAGGGTCCCTCGTTCTGAAGCCCCTCATCCGCACGCAGCCCAGGCCCCGAAGTGGCCGGGCATCCCAACCGCCCGCCGACCCCGACCCCCGGTCTCTCCAGCACCAGCCCTCTCCAGTGCGGACACGGGCTTCGCCATGGCCCCGGCTGTAGCCTGCGGCAGCCGGCCGGAGGATACGGTTGATGTAGTTTTCCAAGGCGGACGTCATGATGCTCTGCCCGGCAGTTCTGAACAACACAGGAACACTAGCGCCGATTGCAGCTAGAAAGGCCCGCCAGGAACCGGCAGCGGCTCCCGCCCACTGGCGGCAGCAGATATCGCGAGAGTTACAACGTCGTAGCGAGCCAGTGAGAGATGGAGAGAAACCGGCCAACCACACTTGAGAGGCAAAGCACTGGCGAGCTAATGCGCGTGCGTAGTGTGTTTCCGCTGTTTTTCCGGTTTGCGTGCAATCTCAGCTGCCGGGAGTGACAAAAGCGTGCAGGAGGCGGAAGGAAGGAGGAAGGTTCCTGAAGGTGGGAGAGCGAGTTTTCTAGTGGAGTGAAAGAGTGGTAGAAGTAACTGGCGGAAAATGTTGAGAGAAAACAGGGAAGGGGGGAGAAAACGAAACAAGGTGCTTTCATCACAAGTAGAGGACTGTTGTTCTCATATGAAATGTGGGTGTAGGGAAGTGGTGTATGATCCTTGGTTTTCTGCGACACAGGCCGAAAATTCTTCTTTTAGAAACTCAGTGGACCAGTCCAAAGTTATGCACATTGCAATGATATGGCATACATCTCTGGAGAACACGACAGTAAAAAGCATGTTCGCATATTCTGCATTTGCCTCAAAAAGTACTCCAGTATGGAGGCGTCGTTACTCTTTTATTTAACAAACTGACTACAAACACAAAGATGTATGAGGCTCCGAAAACTGCCTCCCTTTTACCACGCCACAAAGTCTCTCTGTCCTCAGGAGGAAATTAGTAAATAAAAGGTCTGTTTGCAGCGCCTGGGAAAGGACGGATCCAGGAAGAGGCGTCCAGATAAGTCCCAGACTGGGTTTAGACTTGGCTCTGCTAACGAATTATGTGAGTGTCCTTGCACAAGTAACAGCAACTTACCACTGTTTCCTTATATCCTGTCACAGGTATTATTTTGACTAGTACCACATATTACTAGAAAACATCACTCTCATTTTACTGTAACTTAACAATTGAAGTCAGGAAAGGATCTATATATAAAATAGCAACGAGAGCTATTCTTTGTACAAAAACTCTATGGTTTTAGTTAGGCTTGTGATTTCTTAACTGAAGAATTGTGGGTTTGAAATAACTTGCAGTGTGAGTAGTTTTCTTCTGAAAAGTGAAGCATCTGTTTTCATTACAGCATACCCACAAAATTACCTACAGATCACTCCCAAGTGGTTATTAATATTTTATATATTGAAAGTTACTCTGACCTGTTTGAAACCACATATAGGTAGGAATTAGGGATTATTTTTAGGGGGGGAAATGAAAGTATCTTTCATAAATGAAAAAATGAAGATACTATGATTTGCAAATGTTACACATTGAAATAAAAGAAAAAGTACTAATTAGTGATAAATGAGGTATCATTAGTAAGAAGTTTTTTAAAAAAAGTAATGTGCTATGTTTTTTTAAAATAAATAATAGTCCATATAGCTTTTCACTCTTGGAGTGCATATGTCTCAAAATGTTTATTATATAGGAACTTACAGAACTAATTTTATTTTTTTTTTAACGATTTTATTTATTTATTTGTCAGAGAGAGAGAGGGAGAGAGAGCGAGCACAGGCAGACAGAATGGCAGGCAGAGGCAGAGGGAGAAGCCGAATCCCTGCTGAGCAAGGAGCCCGATGTGGGACTTGATCCCAGGATGCTGGGATCATGACCTGAGCCGAAGGCAGCTGCTTAACCAACTGAGCCACCCAGGCGTCCCCAGAACTAATTTTATTATAGGTACATCACAATTTATGACCTTGTGTAGTTGCCGTTAAATTAATATGCAAGATAAATAGCAGATGTCTAGTGTTTATGGAGCATCACAAAAATCTTGTTGGTTTGAAATTTTTTTCCACAAGTCTTAACAGTGCTGTATTTTCTGTAGTCCTAAGGGTCACAGAGGCTGAGAGAAAGCCTATGGATAAAGTTCAGTTAGTAAGACAAAAAAAAATGAGTTACATCCAGATGACCTTGGGAATACATGGACATAGAGAGTTCAACACCTCATAAAGGTAAATTAAGTTCCAACAGAGGAAAAGGATATATATAAACATCTGACAACTAAAAAACCAAAGCATACAGTGAGACTTTTAGTTTTAGTCAAAACCTCTCAAAGTGCTACTCATTTAAATGATACCCTATTGCGGTTAAAAAGAGTCAACCAAAGAATGCTGGAGTAGATACTCATTTTTATCCCATTAGTTCTGAATCTAAACTTTAAGCAGAAAAGTAAATTTTGCTTTCATATTTAGTTCATTTAAGACTAGTCGAATAGTGTATATATCTGTAGCCCAGTCTTGAGCCTCGCCCTCATTAATAATCCAATTGCCTGTATCTAGAACAACAGTCAAGATTTATCAAGAAAAGGACAGAAAAGAGATAGAAAGGAGAATCTGTAGATGTGACATTCCTGGGAGTTACTTTCTTTTGGTAGAAACCAATGTATATAAAATGGGTCTCCGGATGTACTGCTCAGAAGTATCTTAATGATTGTCCTGAGAAGTAAAACATAATTCATCTCCCTTTGTATTCTGTTTTCTTTCATTAACCTGAAAAATCAGACTCCTGCTAGGATCTGGAGAAACTGAATTTGCACTTTCCTGTGAATGGCCCATGGAAAATACTACTTTTAACTTAATATGGTATGAACTTTTATTTACTTCTATTTTTTATTGATTTACATTCCTGTGAGTTCCAGAAGTGTCAAGTGCCATCCAGTTAGCAATAATGAATAGATCTTCCTAGGGTTTTCCAAAGCACAAAAGGACATAAATCATGATCTCTCCTTACAAGGAAATTCCTGAGTAAGTACAAAACTTTAATTATAAACATGAAATAATTAGTACATGGAAAAACAATAACTATTCCAAATTATAAAGAAAGATAATTGATGTGGAAATATTAACTCATTTTACACTATAAATTACAAAGTGTTTCTCATATTTCTTTTTTTGCCTTTTAAGGTATTAAGATAGTCATTTTAAACTCCATTTGTTAAGGGATGGAAAAAAAGAATCAAATACAACCAACTTGTTAATTGAGAAAAGCAGTGTAGAATCATGATTAAGAACACTGACTCAAGAACTAGCCTAGAGGTTTGGATTTTTCTAGATATGGATACTGTGTAGCTTTGAGTGGATTACTTAATCTTCTTGCCTCAGGCGTGGGGGAATGGTGAAGTCCACTGCATACTATACATTCAGCTGTTGTTCTTGATAGCACAAGACAAAGTGCTAGGAGAAATTAAATATGAGCCAACCCGCCTTCCATGTTATTCTGACATTACTCCCCTATTTAATAATCACATGAGCTGATTTATATTGTATAAAACAGTGCTGTAGCACAACAGACTGTTACTATTCCACTGAGAATCTGGGCTTTAAATACGGTTAATCTGCCCCTGTTTACTTCTCTCCTCCCGTGGCTCATCTTGCCTTTTAGCACCAGGTGGTTTTTTTGGGCAGGCAGGACTTAAGGCTTTGTGCCCTAAGAGGATACTTGAATTCATACAGAGTGGGGTGGCTTTAATTAAAAAGCAAGTAAAGAGGAGGACTAATCCAGATGGAGCACTTGGAACTGAGCCTTTCTATATATATATATATATATATATATATATATATATATGTGTGTGTGTGTGTGTGTGTGTGTGTGTGTATGTATATATGTATCAATTGCCATCTATGTGTTATTACTATCACAAAGCAAGTTAATGTTTCTTACATTATTTTAAGCTGCGCATTTACTTGAATTTTGTTATTTTTGCTAGTATCTACAGCTTAGTATGTTTAGTGTCTTGGGTTGCAGTACAGGTAAAATTACATTGTTCTTTTCATTGTGATTTTTGGCATGACAAATTTGGAAAATAATATTGAAGAATGAAATTACTTTGACTTAACTTGCTAGAATTTTTCACCCGAACCCATTCCTGCCTTTGTATGTAGATTTTTTTAAAGATCAGAAGGAACTGATATCCAAGAGTATATTCAAAGGCTGTCTGCATTTTTGAGATATCAGTACCACTGGGAAGACTAAGAAAAGCAAATAGGATATTGTGTTAGGCAGAGTGATCCCCACCCCAACCCAAAGTATGTCCACATCCTAATTTCTGGAACCTGTGATAATGTTACCTTGTATGACAAAAGAGTCTTCAGATGTGATTAAGGTTGAGGACCTTGAGATGGGGTGGATATCCTGGACTATCCAGATGGTCCCACTCTATGCACCTGAGTCCTTAAAAGTGAAAGAATGAGAAAGAGGAGTGGCTCTGAGAGATGTATGTGAGAAGAACTAGTTCCACTGTTCATGGTTTTGAAGTTGGGAGAAAGGGGGCCATGATCCAAGGAATGTGGTCATCTTTAGCTAGGAACAGCTCTTAGTTAACAGCCAGTAGGAAAACAGGGACCTTCATCCCACAAAGGCTAGAAACTGAAATCTGCTTCTAGACCAAGTGGGAAGGAAATAGATTCTCCTTCAGAGCCTCCAGAAAGGAACACATTCTGCCAAGACCTTGATTTTAATCCAGTCTGCTCTATACCAGACTTCTGACCCTATAGAACTGTGAGATAATAGTTTTGTTGTTTCAGCCATTAAGTTTATGGTAATTGTTATATCAACAATAGAAACTAATGGAGATAGTCAATGTCTTAATTTATTATCTTCCTGGATTTTGACTAAGGAAGTCATTTGGAAAATCAACTGTACTGTATCTTAGAGATCTTGAGCATATTTGATTTTGGAGCACTTAAAACCAACTATGAACTATTGTTCATGACCATCTTTCTCTGTGGTACAAAGTCCTTCTAAATGCTAAACTTCTCCCCAGAATATCCTCCACAGTGGAATTACGTAAAACATGGGTTTCTTCAACCCAAATTACTATTTACTTCGTGTATGTCTTTTTTTTTTTTTTAATTTTAAAAAATTGCACTTAGAAAAGAAAATGAATTCCTTATGGTAGTAAAGCCTATAAAAATGCCCTGGAAAAAAGTTTTATTTAGTCATTGTTATACTAATCTCAACTTCTTCACCATCCATTTGTTCCTTAACCCTTTGTTAGCATCCAAGCATTCTCTAGGAAATTCAATTAGGATTTTACAACTGTCAAACCTGATGGCATTTTTCTTTTCTTTTTTTTTTATTAACATATAATGTATATTTGTTTCAGGGGTACAGTTCTGTTATTCATCAGTGCTCACCATAGCACATACCCTCCCCAATGCCCATCACCAGCTACCTCATGCCTCCCACCCCCCTCCACTTCAACAACCCTCAGTTTGTTTCCTGAGATTAAGAGTCTCCCTATATCGTTTAGTCTTGTTTCATTTTCCCTCCCTTCCCCTATGACCCTCTGTCTTATTTATCAAATTCCACATATCAGTGAGATCATATAATAATTGTCTTTCTCTGATTGACTTATTTCACTTAGCATAGTAGCCTCCAGTTCCACCCACATCGTTGCAATGGTAAGATTTCATTTTTTTGATTGCTGCATAATATTCCATTGTATGTATGTATGTGTATATATGTATATATATGTATGTATGTGTGTGTGTATATATATGCATATATATATATATATATATATATATATATATATGTCACATTTTCTTTATCCGTTCATCTGTTGATGGACATCTAGACTCTTTCCTTAATTTGGCTATTGTGGATATTGCTGCTATAGACATTGGGGTGCTGGTGCCCCTTTGGATCAGTACATTTGTATCTTTAGGGTGAATACCTAGTAGTTCAGTTGCTGGGTCATAGGGTAGCTCTATTTTCAACTTTTTGAGGAACCTCCATACTGTTTTCCAGACTGGCTGCACCAGCTTGCATTCCCACCAACAGTGTAGGAGGATTCCTCTTTCTCAGCATCCTCACCAACATCTCTTGTTTCCTGACTTGTTAATTTTAGCCATTCTGACTGGTGTGAGGTGGTATCTCACTGAGGTTTTGATTTGTATTTCCCCAAGGCCAAGTGATGTGTCTGTTGGCCATTTGGATGTCTTCTTTGCAGAAATGTCTATTCATGTCTTCTGCCCATTTCTTGATTGGATTATTTGTTCTTTGGGTGTTGAGTTTTATAGATTTTGGATACTAGCCCTTTATCTGTTATGTCATTTGCAAATGTGTTCTCCCATTCTGTCAGCTATCTTTTGGTTTTGTTGACTGTTTCCTTTGCTGTGCAAAAGCTTTTCATCTTGACGAAGTCCCAGTAGTTCATTTTGGCCCTTGCCTTTGGCAGTGTTTCTAGGAAGAAGTTGCTGTGGCTGAGGTAAAAGAGGTTGCTGCCTGTGTTCTCCACAAGGATTTTGATGGATTCCTGTCTTACATTGAGGTCTTTCATCCATTTTGATTCTATTTTTGGGTGTGGTGTAAGGAAATGGTCCAGTTTCACTCTTCTGCATGGTGCTGTCCAGTTTTCCTAACACAATTTGTTAAAGAGACTGTCTTCTTTCCATGGACATTCTTTCCTGCTTTGTCAAAGATTAGCTAACCATAGAGTTGAGGGTCCATTCCTGAGCTCTCTATTCTGTTCCATTGATCTATGTGTCTGTTTTTGTGCCAGTACCATACTGTCTTGATGATTACAGGTTTGTAATAGAACTTGAAGTCTGGAATTGTGATGCCGCCAGCATTGGTTGTCTTTGTCAACATTCCTCTGGCTATTCAGGGTCTTTTCTGGTTCCATCTAAATTTTAGGATTATTTGTTCCATTCCTTTGAAAAAAGTTGCTGGTATTTTGATAGGGATTGCATTAAATGTGTAGATTGCTCTAGGTAGCATAGGCATTTTCACAATATTTGTTCTTCCAATCCATGAACATGGAATGTTTTCCATTTCTTTGTGTCTTCCTCAATTTCTTTTATGAGTATTCTATAAAAGTACAGAATACTTTTATGAGTATTCTATAGTTTTCTGAGTACAGATTCTTTGCCTCTTTGGTTAGATTTATTCCTAAGTATCTTATGGTTTTGGGTGCAGTTGTAAATGGGATTGACTTTTTAATTTCTCTTTCTTATGCCTTGTTGTTGGTGTATAGAAATGCAACTGATTTCTGTGCATTAGTTTTATATCCTGACACTTTACTGAATTCCTGTATGAGTTCTAGCAGTTTTGTGGTGGACTCTTCTGGGTTCTTCACATAAAGTATCATATCATCTGGAAAGGGTGAGAGTTTGACTTCTTTATTTTTTTTTTTTGTTGTCTGATTGCCAAGGCTAGGACTTCTAGTACTATGTTGAATAGCAGTGATGATAGTGGACATCCCTGCCATGTTCCTGACCTTAGGGGAAAAGCTCTCAGTTTTTCCCCATTGAGAATGATACTCACTGTGGATTTTTTATAGATGGCTTTGATGATATTGAGGTATGTACCCTCTATCTCTACACTGTGAAGAGTTTTGATCAAGAAAGGATGCTGTACTTTGTCAAATGCTTTTCTTGCATCTATTGAGAGTATCAAATGTTTTTTGTTCTTTCTTTTATTAATGTATTATATCACATTGATTGATTAGTGATGTTGAACCAGCCTTGCAGCCCAGGAATCAACCCCACTTGGTTGTGGTGAATAATCCTTTTAATGTACTGTTAGATCCTATTGGCTAGTATTTTGGTGACAATTTTTGCATCTGTGTTCATCAGGG